AACTCAAATTGTTCAAAGTCAGTAAACATTTCCCTACAATGTGTAACATGGTTGGTAGCACCACTGTCCACGTACCAATCATGTGATACGGCAGTATTCTGGGTTTGAAAAACACAATTGCTTAATATGGTTAGTGCTGCTTGTTTGGATTCTTTTTCCAAGCTTTTCTTTTCATGTTTTCTTTCAGGTTTTCCATCCTCTATCCATTTCTGACACCCCTGCAACCAATGTCCTTTCTTGTGACAATAGTGGCATGGAAACTTTTTCTTTTCATCATTGTTCTTGCTGTTTTTCTGTAGACTTACTAAGTTACCTTTGCCTTCTTTAGATCTATTGACCGCCATTAAAGCTGTATCTTCTTTATCTTTTTCGTTTGAGGTCAGCTTTCTTGCTTCTGTACACAGCCAATTTGTTAGATTGTCAAGGTTTCTCGCTTTATCCTTGTGAATCATTAACCAAGTTGTCTGAAAGTTGGAATATTCTGCTGGTAGGATTTCAAAAATCTTGCAAATCAACAATATCTGAGGTAAACTATCTTCTTTCTTGTCTTGAATTTTCTTAATTTCTTCTTGAAGCTTTACCCATAACGACTTGATTGCAGATAGGTTTCCAGCCATATCCAAGTGTTGATCCCATTTGTAGGTGAAGAACAGAGAGCATATATCATAGGCTTTATTTTCCTCTATTTCCGCAAATAGATTATGCAGCTCCTTCCAAACCTCATCTGGTTTTTCTAGGTTTCTTACCTGAGCTCTTACTTCCTTACTTAATGAAGATGCTAACATAAAAATTACTTCTGATTGTGTTTTGTTATACTTATCCATCTTCATTTTGTATTCTTTCATTTCTGCAGCTTGTGTTTCATCTTTAGGTTTCTCTGGCAATTCCATTTTACCAGAAATGGCTTCGTATGCATCTGGGATTCCTTTAAGCCTAATTTGCATTAGATATTTCCAATCATCCCAGTTGTCCTTTCCATGCAGCAATTCCATTTTCTGCATAACGAATTCCATACTAAAGGTTTTATCTCAAGCAATAAATTATTCTATTTAAAACCTGTAACACACAATATAAGGGTGTCTGGGCCCATAACCTGTTATGAAATACTATTGTTACAAGTTAAATTTAGAATGAAATGAAAAGAATACTTTACTGGAAGAAAAAATTGGACGAAAACTTGACAAAAATCGCACAAAACTGCATTTTTGAACGTCCGTAATGTTATTTACTAAGTAGTGAGGCCATATTTTAATGGCTAAAGACACTCTCGCCAATCCAGTGAATACATTAAAATGACTTGGATCTTGATAGGTACTCTCGTTTTCTTGGAGAAGATTGCGTAAAATACCATCTTGAGTGTTACAGAAAGACAGACAGACAGAAATTTAGATGAGACTTGTTCCGGCTTATTTAATGTATAAAGTGTAAAAATAACCTGAAAATTTATGATTCTGAGCAATGTACAGACAAAACTCTAATTTTATTTATATAGGTATTTATTTTATATTTAGTAAAGAGTACTAAATATAATAAACATAGTCCAATAGTTATTATATGCAACAAGTTTAGCCGTAAATTGCATTTAGCCTAGAAGAAAAGAATTATCAATAACTCAAAGCTAGTGGGTAGTGTTTTAAGAAACTTTGTATACACTTTACAATTGTTGTCATTATATTTATATGTTCCCAAAAATATTTTTCACCAAACTTTATAAACATTAAAGGTGGCCTATAAAAATGTTCAAAGTTAAGTAAGTTAAGTAAATGAAAGAATCTTGGCATATCTTTCAACTCTTCACTTACTTGGGACACAGCAGTTACGGACACACGAAAAAAGGTTTTTGCCTCCATACATTCACTGAAAAGATTGCAGAACTTTTTGCCACAACACACAAAACTTCATTTGATCAAATCACTTGTACTGCCCCACTTCAGTTACTGCAACTCATTGATCAATGACATGACTGTGATTCAGGCGGATATGCTCCAGCGGTCTCAGAATTACGCTTTGAGATTTGTCTATGGTCTGCGGCGTGAGGAGCATATCACGCCATACTACCTTGAGGCAAACATCTTGAAACTAAATTATCAAAGATCCATCAACATTTTGTCATTAGTCTTTTTAATTTTGAAATCAGGCTCCCCGAAATATTTTCATCAGATTTTAAATTTGTGTCTCAGGGTAGTTCACAAATTTCTCGTTCTTCTTCGATCACATTGCGTATACCTCATCATGTGACCACCGCTTATGACAGGGCTTTTGTTGTTACCGCTTGCCGTCTTTGGAACAGCCTACCCCTACACTTTAAATCCCTTGATAAACGTTCCCAGTTTGTGGTGGCACTAAAAAATCTCTACTTTGAGCAAATGGTCTTGGCTGGCGTGTCCTAGGGCTTCTGCGTCTTTGCGCGATTGCTGGTGTGTATGCGTGTGAGAGTGTGAACGTGTTTTATTTTGTATATTCTATTAATTTATAATAATTACTATTTTTTTTAACTAGTTAAATAAATTGAATTTTTGTTAACTTGTACTTGATGTGTTAAATATGTATTTTTATATTAGATTAAGAAATGTCATTGTATTTTTATTTATTTATATTTAAGTTTGTTAGGTTAAGTGTAAGAGCTAACTTTGCCTGGTAAAATAAAGAATTTTTCATTTCATTTCATTTTCATTTCAAAGTTAAATGAAAACGAGTCCCTAAATTAAAATTATACACAACTAAAGATTTAAAGAAATTTGAAGACCAAATCCAATGACACTTTGATTGTAAAATTTTGTTGATAAGCATATAAGCTATGACAATTTGTTATGTCAAAAATTTGAAAATTTGCGGCCATTTTAAACTTTAAAAATCAAATTCCTCTTAATCGAGCTATTGAATGAAAGATATGAAAGATATAAAATTTAAAGCATACTAGTGTACATTTTGCTCGAATTCGAGCAATTGTAAAGTATTACAGGATTTGCAAACCAATAACAATCATACTAAGCTATCAACATTTCAACAAAAACACACCTACCTTCCCTGTAGCAGCAAACCTAAGTACTCATATTAAAATTAACTTAATGTTATTTAAATAGGACAAAAAATGACCATTTTCAGGGAATATCATTCTAGAACTAAGCCAGGTAAATGGGAATTCGCTTAGTCTAAAGCTTTGCTGCGGATATACAATTTTAATAACAGCAATGATTGAAGAATCTGAATTATTACTTATATCCATGAATTTATCTAATAATTATTTCCTGTAAAATATTATTACAGCAGCTCAAAAATATTGGAACAGACTCGGTCAACAAATGACGTAACTGAAAGAATCCCATGCTAATGGCATTAACATATAGTTTGACAGTTCCATTTAATCAATTTTAAATGTTTACATTCAGGCGAGTGACACATTTTATTTATGTTTATGATCCATACCGTTCCTGTTCTAATAATCATGCAGTATTTAATATGTTTGGACCAGCTGTGTGGAATTGTGAAATCAAAATAAATTTGACAAAACATTAGTTCTGCTTGTTTACATTTTTTTTTAATTTTGTGGGTTTGTTCTTTGTTACCATGGATACCATCAATAAATATTTCACTTTTCTGACAACAGCTGGAGTTCCATAACAAATTTTGTTTCCCATGTTAATCTTATGGATAAATACAAAACTTTAAAGGGCCCCAGGGCCCCACTCTCTAATTATTTTCCAAAAAAAAAGTTTCCTGCACAACTTCACGTTACGCTCTTTCCAATGACACCAAAAACATGTCAATCGGTTCAGTAGTTTCGGAGGAGTAATTGTCACAAAAAACCTGCTTGCGTATTAAATAAGTACTAGTTGCTCTGCCCGTGCTTCGCTACGGGGTGAGAATGCAGAAAAGAATAATTTGGTTTTACTTTAAGATACTATAATATACTATAAGGAACAGTTACAACACACTTACCAGGAAACTTATAGGCAAAGGCTCAATCATACCTATTGATTATTTAAATGAATATCTCTTAATGTATTACAGTACCATCATTTTATATAGTGTTTATCATTTAAAATATATGCAAAAGTATAACTCATTGACCACATGGCACCAAGAAACAATTCTCCTTGTAAACAAATTAAATTAAATAGCAGAACAGCATTTCTGACAACAGCTGGAGTTTCATAACAATGTTTGTTTCCCATGTTAATCTTATGGAGAAATACAAAACTTTAAAGGGCCCCAGGGCCTCACTCTCTACTTATTTCCCTGTAAAAAAAGTTTCCTGCACAACTTCACGTTACGCTCTTTCCAATGACTCCAAAAACATGTCAATCGGTTCAGTAGTTTCGGAGGAGTAATTGTCACAAAAAATCTGCTTGCGTATTAATTAAGTATAGATAGATAATCCAAATCCATTGACAACTAATTGAATTGTGAAATCTGTTATTGACTGAACAAGATTAAGCAGTTTTTATAATTAAAAGTTTTACATTTTTAATATTAACTAGTTAACATTTTAACTAGCTACTAAATTAAATTTAATGCAGTGTGTTAAATTCTAAACAGACACTTTAACTGATGAAGTAAGTTGTCAAACAATAATCTATGGTAATTTTTATGTTTTGAGTATTTACAATAAACATTTTTTCTGTAATTTTTTACCATTTATCACTTTCCAAATTGTTGTTCAAATTGCTACTTTATAAATCTGCTGTTGTGTATACCTAATTTCCATTTAGGGAAAAGTTTGAATGGCTATCAATTTGAAGTTATTAAAGTTTTGGAAAATACATTTGTGGAAAACATTAAAATTTATACCAGTTTTCATTAAAATATCACCAGTAAGCTTTGAGTTATTATTTTTTTTTAATTATTTACAAAATAGTGGAATACAATTAAGCTAAACCAAACCAAACTGAAATAAAAAATATATTACTAATTTTGGAAAGTACAATGGAGTCCTCTATAGCTTGTATATTTTCCATCTGCAGTAGCAGTACTATAGATTGTCATGTAATCTGTGACAGGAGTGATCTCAGCCATGTGCCTGGACTCACGACAGTGTTACCTCGCACTAGGCACCAGCAGTGGCTACCACACTGTGTGGGACTTGCGCTTCCAGATGCCTATCACCTCCTTCCCACCACACCCAGTCGACAGTGAGTTGTAATGAGTTTAAACAATTAGTATAAACTTAACATGAATTAAGTTTTGTTTAAATTAGATACATGTTTTGCGTTAGAACTTGAAGTAGGTGATACACACATCTTCTTAGTACCCAGTGACTGCAGGTAGGGTCTACTTAAAGTCTGTGTATATGTGTGTGTGTGAGGGCTGCATAGTCTCAACAGTTTATAGAGTGTAGGCGAGTGGAAGTCTCTTTTCAACCCAATGAAGTAATTATGTATATTTTTTAATGGCAATACTTCACAAACTATGTTTATCGGGAGGGAACCACCATGCAGTGATACATAATTATAAAACAAGCTGTGGTGGTTTAGGGTCACCTCAGAGAATCAGAAGACTTGTAAGACATCCATCAGAGTCCTCGTGGCTTTTGTCTGCCTCCCAGGGCCACAACGAAGTCACCATGTGGAACATGGAGAGTGGCAACCGTCAGGTCATATTGTGGGCTAGTCCTGCTCCCCCTCTCTCCACCTCACAGGTACTCTCTCCCTACTATTTATTTATTTATTTTTTCATGCTACAAAAACATTATAAACAATATACATTTCATACAAAGCTACAAAAGCCTCAGTAGGCTTGTCCGCAGCTATAGACAAGAGTCCAGTTCAAAGTCCATTCACAAAAATTTTTTAGTCAGTGGTATAAGCTATTCTCCTAATCTGTTGCACTAAATAGAATTAATTTGTAAGTTTATGTGGTGTATTCCTCTTAAAGATGCGATTGACTTTACATATTCTATCAAAATAGGCCTAATCATCTGCTGATCCCTAACTCTTTTGCGACTGGTGTGGGTTTCATCACCCAGTTACCGAAACCAATCACGATATTACTTTTCATCAGCATTGACATGCATATTTTTGGTTTGTTTAAGAAACGTAAAGAAACGGAAACTACCTCTAGGTTTTACTGTTATATGTGGATGCTCCCTTTACTATTATATACCATGCATGCTAGGCTACCTATATTATTTTAACCTTTTTTCCTTGGAGCAACAGACAGTACCTGTTTAAAATCTCCCCCAAACAATACTGGGTTTTTCACCCATTGGAACATGCAATAGTACTTATTTAATTTACAAATATATTTTTTACTGAACCTATTCCAGCTTTATTCCCAGGTTATTTTCTAAGAGTAGCCGTTGAGGTTATATTGCACTTCATACAAAATATTGATTAAACACCACAATAAATCTCAAATTCAAAATATTTTTTTGTTTGTAAATTTACAAAGAAAGTGTAGAATAAATCTTTGAACATATGTTTTGAAATAAAAACAAAGCAAAGGTTCTCCATTTAATCTTAAATCGGTAATTATTTAGTCAATGTGGTTATTTCATGGTAAACGTTAAAAATACACAAATTTGAAAAGTTTCACAGTAAGATTTTGTGTAAAAATTTTGGGAATTTCACTATTTTTCCCACCGTCACGGGATCGAGACCTTTAATTTGAGCCCTCTCCCGTCATTCTACGACTTCCCAGTTGCCCACAATTTTGATGCAAAGAATCGGCTTACGTAATTAATATATAGATAATCAACAAGACTTGAACAATTTTTCAACTGGCAAAGTGTTGGTAATTTCAAAACAACAAATAGGATTAGCCCCAACAAAAGCACCATCAAGCTTTGCTATAATTTTTAATAATCTGGTTTGGGCTGTCTGTACTTGGAGCATGTTCGTATGTGCAGCACTTCCCCATGCTTTTAAGCCATATCTAATTTTTGACTCGCACATTGAGGAATACAATAATTTCATGATGTTATAGGGTAGATATTGTCGTAGATAGTGAGTCAACTACTATACTGCCAACTAGGATGAGTCATGTATGTAAATCAATGTAAACTCCCGCAAATTTTGTTTTTCAACCCTATCTATTTGTGTGTTATGAACAAAAACCCAAGTAGGTCGATCAGAGTACAGTTATGAGATTAACCATATTTGTCTGGTATGTAGCCAAGTGCTCACAGTGTTTGTGGGATGTTTGCTTCTAACGTGGACCGATCTCCCTTTCTACTAACTGGAGGCAGTGACCAGCGAGTCCGCTACTGGGACCTCGAGAGTTACGATAACTCCCGACTGGCCATCCCAGCGGGCAGTGACACTCAGGGACTCAACTTCACATACAAGTGAGTAGCAAGTTTAATTTAAAACAGCTTAAAAATTGGTGTTCTTTATGGTATACAGTAATTTTTTAATAGTATTTGTATTCAAGAGCCAACTTTAAAATAATCAGAATCTAATTTTAGACCCGAAATTCCTATACCATTACTAGTTTTAGTGTTTGAAACAACAGTTTATTGATTACACTGTCTGTTAGTAAATCTCGTAATAGTTGTAAATACATGTTTCCTTGTTGCGATCAATACACTTTTTGCAGCCAAATAGCTGTTCAGTACGAGCTCCAATTATACGAACTCCATCCAACCGAATCGCCGATTATCCAATTTGCTTACAGATGGATCAAATAAAAGAAACTAAAACCAGAGAAATAAAAATTTTTTATTTTTTAAAATTAAGATTAAAATTAAAATTAAGAGAAGGCAGAATATGTGATGGTAGCAAAATCAAAAAACTACCTCACGGTTTTTTTTTCATCGTCTCTCGTGGTCACTGAAACATCATCATTGTCTTCCGTGATCGCCGCAAACTGTACAATACATTCCACAGTCGTGTTGTTATGATCATCGTCTGCCATAATCGCGGCAAAATTGAAAATACATCCTACGGTTTGTAGCCATGATCACTGTCTCTCGTGGTCATGAAAACATTGTCATTGTTTTCCGTGATCGTGGTCTTGTAGACAAAGTTGATTACACTGTCTCCTTCGGTCATTGTTTTCCAAAAATGTGGCAAATTATTACGACAGTTACTGTTGTAGTTGATTGTGTGATCATTATCGTCCTTTTATTCAATTATATTTTTAACCGATGTATCCTACTAGAAATGTTTTTTCTAAAAGAATTAGAAATTTATAAAAAAAACATTTTTAGTAAAAAAATTATTTTGGAAAAAAGTGCTGCATTGGTCAACTATTTACAACATTCTATAAATTATAGAAATAAAAAAGATATTTTTTGTTTTTATTTAAATAAATTAATTTTGCTGTCTTTATACACAGACCGTCTGAGAAGGGTCAAATATCTTATTCAGCCTTGTAGACATCATCTTGGTCTCCCGTGGTAACAGTTAATCATTATTGTCCTCCAAGATCACAGTGAAAGCGTGACTTTTTTGAACGCGAAATCTTTGCAGACACCTTCTGGGATTATAATAGTAAGAGCTTGGTTTCACTTGGCCTATTTTCTGTAAAATACCTTGTAAATTACCTATCTCAACTCCCAATTTATTTAGATCATTGGAGTCATACTGTACTACCATTGATATTGTTCATTTTAATACCTAAACAAGGACCACTGTCACTGTTCTTTTAATTAGAAGGCTCCCAAAACTGTAATTCAAGTTTGTGTTAGTATATAGAGGAAAAACAGTGGCGGCGACAAGATCCCACGAGCCTCCCCGCAAGTTTGCCCATTGCCCGATGGGCCTCCCAGTAATCTTTAAACACATTATCACAGGTATTCCTCCTAAGCTTGCACTTGGGTTTGACACGGCATCTCCCGAGGCACCGAAGCGTCATCATTGTCTTCCATGATCGCGTGATCCACGTCTTTCATGAATCGTGAATTCTTTCCGTAGTAATTGCAATCAAAGCCAGGACATCTCCTGCTGTCGCGATTGTGGCCAAATACGTAATATCTCCCACGGTGATGGAAAAATATTTTTCCGGAACATCAGCAAAATCCTAAATATAATATATCCTGTGGAAAAAGAAACTTCATTATCACCTTCAGCGATAGTGTTAAAATCTTGAATATCTCGCACGTTCACGGAAACACTAATATCGTCTTCCACTATCGCAGCAAATTTCTGAGCGCGGTCGTGTAACCGTCAATAACCGGATCCCGCAATCACAACAAAATATTGAACAACTCCTGCAGCCACGGAGATATTGTCATCATCACCCGCAAAGGAATTTTCTCGTCGACATCCGTAGGGGAATCTTCTCGCCAACATCCGTGATCGCGGCAAACAAGTGAATCTTTCAATCGTGTGGGGCGTGATCCTTGTAGACACGTTCTGTGGTAGTGTTGCTATCGCGGTCATGAAAACTCAGCTTGATCAAAGTAAACAAATCTGGTCCACAATATTATTTATATTTTCTTTAATTTTAAAATACAAGCTTTAAAACTTAAATTCAAAAGTGTATTTACTATCACAACTCAAGACTAAAACATAAATATAGATGGTCTTGTTCATCTTTTTTGTATAATTTAAGAAACAATTTTAAAACCAGCTAAAAACTTGTAGGTGTCGCATGATAGATGGCACCAACGTAGTGCAGGAGGTTCAGAGAGGATCTGGAGCCCCCACCAAGGCTCCCACAGGAGAGGAGAGTCCCCGTGCGGGGCCTGATCCTCCCCCGCCAGGCCATTACGACGGGATCACTGACCTGGCCATGTGTCAAGCGTCTCAGTGCTTCTTGGTCAGTGCAGCACGTGATGGAGTCATTAAGGTTTGGAAGTAACTACTGAACAATCGCAATTCCCAGGACAGTTCACAAATTAAATATATTCATTTATTGTTAAATAGACAAACTCACCAGGCAGGTTTATAATTTATTAAATTTTCAAACAAAACAAGTTCAGCAGAATAGAAGCGGTAATTAATTAAAAAAACAGATTGCTTGGTAGTAATATTATTTTTTCATTTGTTTTAAGTTAGTAATAGATTGTTATATTTTTGCATTGATAGATTTTAAAATGTATATGTGAATTTTTTTAATATTTTACGACAGAGCTTTAGTCTAAAAACAAAACTTAAAAATATGCACCCCAATTGTTAGGTTTTTCATCAAAGACTGGCAAAAATGAGTATTTTCACAAATGACTGCTTCAGGCATTGTTTTTATAGGCCTAGCATAAACTTGAAATTGAAGTGTTTAAACGTTTACTTAACCAATTTTACCAGTTTCTTAGCTCACATGATAGATTCCTGTGTTTTATGTAAGTAAATATGATTTCCATTTTATTTATTTTTCCTACAGTTACCTAACAATGTACATGTTCTCTCACTGATTTGAGAAAGCAAAGTGGCCAATTCACTCATCAGTGAGACAATGTTAACATTGTCTCACTCTAATTACTTTGTCTCACTCCAGATTTGCAACGTGAAGGCACAAAATGAGCGCGTAACATGCAGACAAGGTCGTATGCGCACGAAATACGTTAGCAGCACTGGCTGTAAATCAGCTGGTCAGCTGTTGTACTGTTGTATTTGTCACTTCACATTAAATGTCATATTAAAAGTTCACTTCTGTGTAAAAATATGTTAGGTTTCTTTACCAATTTATTTGTTTTATGGTAACTGTAGGAAAAATTTAATGTGCAACTCGAGTGCAAAGTGCAATTGCTCACTAGTTGCACAAATAACTATATCCATCCTTTTTTGTCATTAATAAATATTTTATCCAGAGATTTTCCTGCTCATAGTTTTATTTGGAATGTTTCATATCTTACTACCATCTTACAATGGTGTCTATACCTTACTGCTTTGTCTGTCGATTGTCATGGTTTAGTTGTGTTGAGAACCCTCCAAAGATGTATAGATTACAGTATTGCTTTACAACTTTGTAAATACTATTTATTTTTATGAATATCTGTATATCTTGTTGAAAACAATTTAATATATTTATATTTTTTAAAAGGCCCTTTATTTATCCTGGTTTTTAACCTGACACAATTAACTTCTTTAACACTGAAAGTGTTAACTTGGTTTTTGGAGAATTGCCCACTGGCCCGGGAGGTGTAAAATTATTTTTTTTATTAATAGATGAATTCTCAAAATATGTTAAGTATATGCTATGAAACCAGCAAACAGTAGGACTTTGTTGACTAAGATTTGTAATATATATATTCCAGATGTAGGAGAAATAGAATCAATCTTAAGTGATCATGGTACCAGTAGTCAATTATGGTATTCAACTTTGCAAAATGCTGGAATAAAACCAGTACTATCATATCATCCTCAATCCAATCCAACAAAAAATGTAAATAAGATGACTCGTATTTACTGTCACAAGAAACATACAAATTGGCCAAACGTTTTAGGATTTATTGAAGGTTGTCTGAATCATTCACTATTCAGTTCATGGAGTCAGAGAGGTCACAGAGGTTCATGTGTTTGGAGTGTACCCGCAGAGGTCATGTTAGGTAAAGTTAACAACGCAAATTTTTTAGAAAAGGTAATAGAATTTCCTATGGAAAGGTAATTTTGTAATGTAGAATGTGTACTACACTCTATGCTCTCCGTTCCAAATTTGTCATATTAGTTCCTTGGAAATGGTCCAAAAGCGCTTCCTTTGCCTGGTTGGTGTTCGAGCTGGGCTACGTTACACAGATGTAAATACTGGTTTTTAAAAAAAAATTATGGTTTTTATTGGTTGTTATTGGTGCTTTGTGTTTGAAAGTTTGAGGATTTGGATTATTGGTTCTAAGCGTCCTAACTGCAACTGTGGAAAAATAATGTTGGAACTTGTGGCTATTTCTTGTGGGCTATTCATTATTTCTTCTTGAAAATTTAGCTGAATTGGTTTTTTTTTGTCTTCCTTTTTTCTTGTTATATATTACTTGCCATAGGGGCCATTTTGGGATTTTTTTGCTGCATTTATGTGCTTGTGGTGTGTCCTCTCCTGAAGTGCTTTAATCTTTGATTGTAATTTTTTTTCCTGGCTGCTGTTATTACCTTGTTCTTAGCTTTGCCAGTGCATAGTTCTTTCTCAATAGTTTTAATATACATGCTCAAAGTCTTGTGCATTCTTCATCCCAAATATTTTTTTGTCTGAACTGTTTGTTTTAATTGTTATTTATCGTGCAGGTTTGATGTAATAATATAAGTTGGATAATTTTTTTTAAATAGGAAGTCATATGCTTCAGAGACATCTGCAGTTGTCACAACCGTAAGCCACTTCTGTGGTTGCAATCTATCCTTTAAGAGGTTCATGGTCGTGTTCTTTACCATTGTTTTTTATTTCTTTGTGATCTTCCAAATGTAGTTTTTTTTAGGTTAAGTGTGGCTATTTGGGCAAAATGGTCACAAATACCCGTTAGGATAGGTGATGATTCAATGTTGAGTTTGGTATCAATATTGGAGCAAATTAAGTCTATCAAGGTTTCAGTTTCGTTTGTGATTATAGTTGGTTTTGGGGTTAGCGGTAGCCTTTGGATGTTGTAGGACTTAAGAATCTTCTTGTTTTATGGTGTCATTGTTTTCTATTAGATTATCAACATTTATGTCCCCCATAAGTACTAGTAGCTTGAGTGATTGAAGAGATATGCTCAGTTGTTCTGCCATTATGTCAAGGGAACAGGGGTGCCCATCCCCCCCAAAGCTCACGTCGCAGAATCCCCCCCAAATTCGTTGTTTAACCCATGCCAGAAGGTCTGGGGGCTAACCCATAGTTATGTTTATAATGCGGGGAGGGAAGGGTGCCCCCGACACTTCTTTAAATTTATGGGAATTTAAGCGTTTGGATCAAACTTTTAACCCAATTGAAATGGACAATTTCGATTTTAAAACTCTAGTAGCAAACTATTTGTTAGTTTAGTTTTAATTTAAATGAGTTGGATTTTTAACATTTTGAACCAAAATTGGCAATGTAGTTTTTTTTAATCAGATTTTCCATGAATTAATAGGTTTTCAAAGGGAAAATCACAAAAGTTGCAATAACTTTTGAACCATAATTTTTACGGCATAAAGGGTTTATACAATTTTTGTCATAGTCAAAAAGTATAACATGTTAATTTTAAATCAAAATCGTTCGAGCCAATTCTGAGAAAATTTTATTCATTCATTATTTTATAGGGTTTTATGGAATATCACTATTAAAAATCCAAAATGAAAAAAAAACATCTGGAGAGACCATGGATTGGTAGGTACCTAAAATACCAAATTTCATCAAAATCGGACTCGGACCACAGGCGTGGTCTGTAACTCTGTACCATACATACACACATACAGACAGACAAACACAACACTTCGAAAACCACTTTTTTGGGGTCAGGGGTTTTACATAAACAATTCTTTTACCATATTAAATTGTAGGGGAGAAAGTACTTAAAGTTATGTCAAAAAGTGTGAGATATTTTCTAAATTGTCCTTTAATCCACTTCTGAGTTTGGTCCTTTTTAAATAAGTGTAAAATTTTCAGTCTTAAAAATATTACTAGGCCTAAACTTAATAGTATATTTCGTGCCTAGGGCCAAAAATGAGGTTTTGCTGGTTCGAGATAGTTTTTAAGTTCGATACAAAGTCGAGGACTTAAAACGATCGAGAACTGCAAAACCATTTCAGTCCGTGGTACGAACGCTATTATTCACCACACTATACCCTCACTAATTCACCTCAATGACAATGCACTGCACACTGATATAGTCAACACAACTACAACTTTAAGGTTGTGTGGATAAATAATTTGAGGAATCAGCAAAAATAATAATAAATAATTGCTAGGCAGCGGTACAATAAAACAACTCTATTGCAATGCTATGGATACTGATTGTGTATTTAATATGCATTCATGTTTTAAGAAAGTAAGCGGGCAGCTGATTTTGCGGCCCTAGGGATGTAAAAACCTGCTCGATCCCCGAATGACGATGACAGCTGGCATGGCCTGCAAAACGTAACTTTCAGCCACCAATTAATGTATCTATATGTAAAACAGTTAAAAACATCATAGTGTGGTAAAACAGTATGTTACGTAACTAGTCCTGAATCCCGTGCGAGACGAAGTCGAGTAGTGGTTTTTTTATACGAGTCCGGCCAACACATTTTGGACGAGTGACGTACGATAGTTTACGCCATACTACTAAATCCGTTCAAATCCTTATATATTACCACCAACTAAAGGACTAAAAATCACTAGTCATAACCTCTAAGAGAGGTTTATATGTTTACGCCACACTACATTATTTTGACGAACTTCCCACGCAAGGATTTAGTCCAGAAAACAGCTGTTTGCCGCCAGCTTATTCAAATGGGGTTTCATTGCGTAATACTGTTCTGCAATGAGTTTTCCCGGACACCAATCAGCTGATTATACTGTATTTGCGTGGCAATGATTGGTTATAAACAAAAACATAACCTCTCTTAGAGGTTATGACTGGTGATGTTTAGTCCTTTAGTTGGTTGAAATATATAAGGATTCGTACGAATTAAGTAGTATGGCGTAAACTATCGTACGTAACTCGTCCAAAATGTGTGTACCGGACTCGTATGGTAATCCCGTACTCGACTTCGTCTCGCACGGGAACGACCACACTCGTCCGGTAAACACTTATTTTCAGGACTAGTAACGTAATATACTATTTTGTCCACTCATTGCCACCCAAATACAGTATAATCAGCTGATTGGTGTCCGGCAAAACTCATTACAGTACAGTAGTACTGTATGAAACCCCATTTGATTAAGCTGGCGACAAACAGCTGTTTTCTGGACTAAATCCTTGCATGGGAAGTAGGGAAGTTCGTCAAAATAGTGTAGTGTGGCGTAAAAAATAATTATATATCTATTCAGAGACTAGTAAAATTTGTTTGAAGCTCTTTCTAGATTCAAGAAAAGACAATAACAAATACAATTTAATTAATCCAGAATAATGTGTTTCGATTCTTGAAGTTAACGTAAACACATAGCCTATCAAAACCCTTAATTAAATTGTCACAGTACTGTATGTCAATTTCTTCCAATGAATAAATGACCCAGGCATAATTATTTGGGAGAGCGAAAATATTATCACAAGCTTTCATGTTGTAAAAATAGCAAAATGATTATCATTATCATAAAATACCGGTTTTTTATGAATCAAGTATATATTATAATAAACAAACCTAAAAAGCCATCAATAGGTCCTCAAGGCAATGAGACTATTTGAGAATGAGTTCATAATGAAAGGTAAAAACAAACTCAATTTGCAGATACAATTTAAGAAGCCAACCATAATCCTTTGACAGCAGTTGGCATGGAGTTGTTCTCACTGTCAAACATGATACGAGTCAGAAAGTGGAAATCCACATAAAAGTATATACGTATATTTTATAGCAATTATAAAATGATTTATTAATCAAGATAAAATGTCAAATGGGATTTTGATTGCATAATTACCCCAGTAATAAATTAAGGAGGTCGTAAAAATTATCTGATTAATCTTTTATGTGCTTTTAACCAACCACTGGCTTGAATCCCCCCCAAAATCATAAAATCCCCCCCAAATAAATTTCTGATGTCGCATTTTGCGACATCAAACCCCCCTGTGGGCACCCCTGCAAGGGAATCTTCTACTTTTGCACTTGGTGGTCTTTACACTCCTAGTACTTGCTGGTTTTACTTCTTGAGTTTGATTTCGCAAAGTGCCGTCTCGCATATGAGCTCTGCATCATTTGTGCTTGTGCTTACAGGTTTGTTTTATTTTTTCAAAGTCTTTTTTTACTTATACTGCTACTCCTCCTTTGAGGTGTTGTTTTCTTGCAAAGCCTCCTACAAAAGATTACCCTTTTAGGTAAATGTTTTCAAGGTTTTCTTGTGGCCATGTTCTGTAATTAATATAAAGAATGTTTGTTTTCTTCTGTACAAGTCTATCAGTTTTGGTTAATTTTCACAGTTGATGTTTTGGTGCTTTTG